GGTCTCCAGTTGTATTGTAGTTCGCTTATAGTTATTTGTTTATCAGCCAGGCAATTAAGCTGAATTACACTGCTAAGTTTCCTATGGTCTGGTAGTCATCAAGACGTAACACAACTTTAATCTGCACGGACACGAAATTAACGTTAGTTAATAGTTTTCATTAGACCGAAAAAGGAGCAGACACATTTTGTTGACTGTATAAGAGCAAATGTACAAATTATCAGCGTACCTATTTGAAATCGTATAGTCTAGTCTGTGTGTCAAAATTATATTCCCCAAATTACAAAACTATAGACAACCGACATACATATTTATAAAACAATACTTTGATAAAACAATGGAGAAACATATGTAGGTGTATACTCAATTAATTACGTGTGAGTTACACACGTGATACCAGTTATATGTTAATCTTAGCCATTACCGATTACAATCAAATGTGTACTGAAGACAGTTGTACAGACAGACTACATCACACAGAATTATATCATCCAATCTGATACAACATGAGTCTTTAAAACCCAATACCCAATAGTGTTTGGTGGTCCCGACAACATATCCACATATATCAGATGTTAGATGCAATATTTGTTGCTGGTCAAACTCGGGTGATTGCGTAACAACACATGTTTGCAATGAAGCTTTGCAATGTATGTGCGAATTACATCGAATTCTTACTAGATATGCAAACAAGACTTTTGAAATGATGCCAGCCACAATTTTCTGAAGGTCGAGAGGTCTAACAAAGCATGATACCTGGTCGATACATTTTGACTACTTGAAAAGTCATTAATTTTAATGTGTCAGAAACCTGCATCCAATGCATTTGTTATGAGTAGACTTGGTTAGCGAAGGCAGTGTCATCAATGCAGTGATTGAATGCCCTTCTACTAAGTTAAAGTATGCCATATTGCCATGGCCATTACAAGCATGCAGGCAATGATATAATATGGTTGTATTCTGCGTAACTGAATATCCTGGTGCTAACCTAGTAGCACACTATATATTTCAAAGCCTTTCCATGAAAACAAATCATTGAACTATAATGTGTAAAGAGGAAACTTATAAAAACCACGACTGACGTAGACTTAAGAAGCTGTCATTGAAATGGTGCATTTGTTAAAGTGAAATACATACATTTGACTTGAACAACTTATGCATGTGATGCATCTATTAGCTAATCATCAAATGGCTGTTTCCTAATAACAGACCTAAAAACTACAATTCAAGCCACAGAGCTGTTTTAATAGTCCTTGTTGTGCTATTACTGCAAGAAATATCTGATAGGAGAGGGAACAATGGCACAGCTTGTAGTGACCAGATCACAGAAAATGTTGGATTTCTCTTGTACACTCAATTTCTTTTTACTTTTAGAACATTGTTAACAAAGAGAAGGTCCAAATGGTGCCTGCTAATTATTTCAATTATGTTGCGTGTTTCACCGTGACAATTGTAAGTGCTTTGTACAGACAATTGTCACGTGATAGACAAATTGTACACATCGCGGCAGCAATCATATATCTCCATACAGGGCGTTGAAATTGTTTAAACTTCACGCCATTTTACCTCCTGTACTTATACCAGTATGATACGAGAAAACGACAGTGACCAACATTTTTGACTAGGAGAGAGTGATTAGCATATAGCACTAACTCTAAATTACAACACACTAATTGGTTATTGGAATTTTATAACCTGTATTATTAGTTACTATTTCATGGTAACGTGACATTTGTTTTTCACGGAAGAAGTAATCCCTATTTATGAGGCTAATAAATGGTCTTATATATTTCATTTAATATTTCGATTTAACGACAGAGCTAACCATTATACTGTACTGGTTTTAATATTGACTAATGCCTAGAAAGCAAGTAGAAGACTATCCCCCTCCAAAAAGACGATTTTTCTATGACAATTTGTACAGTTTAACATAAACAATTAGATAAAATAACGTTTTAGTACTATACTATGATCACCATAGTTGAGTACTACCGTATTTTTAAAAACATTTACGGAAAATTGTGATGAATCATATTTTTTTAATAACGTTTATTATTTCTCAACATGTCATATTTATTTATGGTGCATTATTTATTAGAACGTTGTCAAAATTAATAACTAATAATTATAAACATAGTAATTGTGATTATCAAAAAACGTGTTAATGTGTGCAGCACATAAGTAGAGAATATTCGTTGATAATACGGACAACCGAATTTTATTTTCTCATTGCATCTGATCCTTCTTACGCCCATTGTATTACACATAATTCATGTTACTAGTGATAAACAGTTAACAAATGAAGACTATGGTAAAGTGGGAATTGAGTCCAAAGCGATGATAACAACACACACTAAAAACGCAAAGGCTCATGGGTGGAAGGTAAATAAATAGATAAAGCTAAAAAAATCATATAATTATAATATGAAGAAACCTAAACAGACGGAACGCTTACTATGTGACGTTTGTTTCTATTTAATACTGTCAAATTTATTTCTAATTTTCTTTGTGATTTTTAACAAAGGTTTTCTGTATTTAAATTTGTGTATGCATTTTTTTGAAACCATTTGGCGTACCCGTAGTATATTACTGATGTTTTGCGCCCTCTTTAGTCAATACTTTTCTCCGTCGGTGAAAACAAAAACGCGTCACATTACCTATATCTGTATTTTGTAACGAGGACAAACGTTAATATTGAATTATCTGATACAATTTACACTGGCAAGCTGGGTCATCGCTCTTTTCGTGTTAGGTCACCCAATAGTCGGTGTAATTAGGTGTATTACTGTCGGCTATTAGACTTTCTCGCTAAAGTGCTTCTTTTATATGCTTGAAGAAAAATCGTGTTTTACAGGAAATAAAAGTCCATTATCTATATAGAATTTATTCCCATAGTACTGTAATGGACACGGATAAGATACACTCCCACATACTGTGTAGTACTAATAAAACAGATTTACTGACATACATATATATACTTACCATTTTGTCATGGATTACCACCCAAAATATGCACACATTGCACCACTACAGGGAAGATATTAATATAACATATATTGTATTTTTTTCCTTCATATCTGTTGGAGAAAATCTAATCAAACATGGTTATGTGTCTTGATGATTCTTTTCTGCAAGGTGTTTCGTTACTAAAATGTTCGTTTTGTATTCATTTAACATATTTAAGGGATTAGGGGCTTATAGTCGCAATTGACTTTGTTCAATTTTCCTCATTAATATTCATTGCACTTTGCGATCGATTCATGGGGGTAGATCAAGTAGAACTGTTCTCTTTAAACTGTTTCACGACTGATAAGCTTAGCGTTGGTGTGGTGTACTTTTAATAATCGTAGTTCAAGTGAACATACCACGTTAAACTGTGAATAACTGTTGAATAACTGACCAAAAAACCACTAATAAATAAATAAATAAATAAATAAATAAATAAATAAATAAATAAATAAATCTTAAAAATAGAGCTTTACAATAATATACCTGTACATGTATTAACCTTTACCTAGTTTAGAATTTACGTAATGCATTATTATAATTAGATGCGTTGTTATATGTGACGTGTGCACGTGAACTGTAGATCAACGGTCTGGGAAGGGGAGGGGAGGTTATTTTTCATGTATTATTCGGCTTATTGTGGTATTGCCCATGTCGATAACGCTTAACTGCTATATGTAAATTGCCAATGAGAATACTGTTTTTACATTACTCAAGACAGATAGAATTCAATTTGATTCGTTTCGCTTGACTCGCATTCGAATGACAGTAATTGCTAAATACTTGAGTGGCATTATATTCTAAACTAAAGTCATCGCATTGAATCAGATTTGTGTATTTATGAGAATAGATCGATCTCTGCAATATTGCAATTATGAGTGACAAAACAAATCTCATAAAGGTTCCAATATTTAAAGCTATATTCAATAGAAACGAACAGTATCGCTCACCCGAGGCTATTTACCGTTGAATCGCACGATTGCATAATTCATGGATGCATCCGACTTGATCATTGATTTGTAAGACGAAAGCAATTGTGGAGAACAGCGGCAAGCAGCATGCGTGAAACTTTAATCACTGTTTTTTTCATAATTGTTCAAATGCACAATGCGCAACGATAATGTTCCAATGGATGTGGTGATATTTTTTATGAACTACGTATGTTTCGCTTTTATTACCAGTATAAACACATTGTGATGAATCCATTCAATTAACTACCAAATTCATATGGTGAACATTCACGAATTGCCGTATTGACGGCTGAGGGCAGGCTACGCTGCTTATTATATGACGACTCCGTCGGTACTACGTCAGTGTATGTCTAGCCAATTTGGCAATGCCATGTAAATGTTAATTAAAAACCATTCCTTATGTAAAATAATACAGGAATTGTAATTGGTTTGGTTTGGATGGTGCCGTCATTAGGTGTCAACATTGCGTAGTCACATCGTTATAATGCCACATATGATATATCATACACATTGAAGCTAATACTTAATAATTATCGTCGAGGGCGCCGTAGTGTGAGCTACGTCACCGTGGATGAAAACCAGCTGACCATTACGACAAAATTAGGCGACATACCTCGCTGGGAACGTTTGTGTAAAATACTATATTACGAATCTATTGTTGGCGACACAGCGAATGCAATCCTGTGATATCGTGTTCTAGCCGATGCAGATGTTCAGCTGTTCAGTATTACCCAACAGCTCTGTACGTTTTATGTTTGTAACACTAACTGGACTGTAATACTTTGTCAGACAGCTCAAAGGTTTAACACAATGGGTTTCTGTTAGTTTGAATCGGATCAGCCATCGTGATTGGACTAATATATAAAGAAGGTTGTCTACGCAATGAATTGCACGGATGCCAAGATTTCAACCTTGATTCGTGAGTATTGCCAAGGATTGTATTGAACGCTCTCATCGTAATCATTAGATTCAGTACTGTATTTATGTATCTGTCGTTCTACACTCTCATTTTACTGAAACATAATGGTGCTCGGTAGCAACTTAAGCGGTAACGTGTCAGAGATTCCTGTGTGGTTCGGCATAAACTATAACCGTCAACTTCGGCTTATAATTCTAGCTGTCTTGTTTATTGTCTCGTTGGGAGGAAATGTCGGCTTCTTCGTGTGGATGTGGTTCAACCGCCGGACTAGAAATCGAATTAATACATTCATGGTGCATCTGTGTTGTGCGGACTTGTTGGTTGCTTTTTTCGCTCTCCTTTCACAGTTCATCGTGGAACTATTAGAACTCACCTGGCTGATGGGGGATGTCGGATGCCGTCTTTTTAAAATTTTGCAGTGTTTCACGCTCTTCGCATCTTCTAACATGGTAGTCGCTATAGCCATAGACCGTTACCATTCAGTCCTTTACCCGTTCAAGCAAAGATTAGGCGTATATGTCATCATAATACCCGCTTGGCTGATCGCGTTCTTTCTGTCGATACCGCAGGCTTTTCTGTGGAAGGTCATCCCAGATAAACAGGGGACTGTTGGCTGTCACACATCACTCGAGAAGAACTGGCAGAAACAGACTTATCTTACTTGGGTTGCTCTAGTGATGTTTTTCATCCCATTTATTTTGATCACCTCATTCTACCTGAGGATAACGTTCAGATTATGGCAAAGAAGAAACACGGTATTGCCAGGGAAAAACCAACGACGTCGCAATGCTAAGATGAAGACATTGAAAATGACCTTCGTCATAATTACATTTTTCGTTGTCTGCGGGCTACCGTATTTCGCATTGGACATGTACCGATTCACCGGGCGGGGCAATGTGGACAGGAACGCGTACGCGGTTCTGGGTATATTTTCTGTCTCTCACTGTGCCGTTAATCCTTTTATTTTTCTCGCTTTTAATGCTAGAAGCAACTCCTCTCCAGCGTCAATACGTTACCATGACAACTCCGTACTGGTCTCGACTCCGAGCAGAGGCTTAATATGAGGTTAGAAGCATGTTCGCGGTTTCACGGGGCACCTTGAATGATTGGGGCTAGATAGTTTCCCGTAACCGACTTCTCGCAAATCAACGTTAACAAGGTGCATCCACAGACAACTCACTGTGGGTATGCCAATTGAACTGATATACAGGAAATGGATGCACGGTGAACTTGACCTTTAATTTACACTGAGACATACAATGTCATGACACTAAAATTGTACGACGTACAATGTGGGTAAAAACATCACGATATAATATCATTGGATATCAAATGTTTGTCTTACAAGCATTTTAAATTAGATTAGGCTAACTCGAACAGCCGAAATGACGTGATCACTCTGTTTGCACACCATTTCCGTCCGTGTTTCGTGTGAATTGGTGACACTTTCAAAAACAGATGGTCTTTTGTTTACTGTTCACTAAATACCACAACAGTTTTTTTTGAGAATGTATGTACTTTATATAATGTATCAGTTTTAGTGTTGTTTTAATTTATTCCGCGTTTTTAAATGTTTGTTGTTGCCCCTGAATTTACCTAGTGTCTTTTGTAGGCACCATTCGATGAAATTATAATATATATGGTAACGACACTGTGGTGTGCATGACATAATATTGAATTTGTACAAATCGCACACTGTGCTGGGATTTCAAATGCTATCAGCTCGCAGCACGAATCGACGTCGACGTATCATGTTTTTGCCGAAATGCATTAACGTATTTCGCAATCCCACAATAATCTTGCGCAAGGGATCGAAGAAGGCATAAGTTGAATCGTTGCACTGTGCATCACAATTATAGTACTACTGTCGCCCATTATATAGTTCGTGAGTAATTGGACGTTCACGCATATCCTCAATGGTTAGCTTGTCTACGCCCCTGGTCGGTCGCCGTGTTGCTATCGACCTCGGTGAACGTACAAATAAATGTCCTTCCCGCGGGACACACCGCTGACTGCAATGCATATATAAAAATTTGAATAGTTGAATTTGTGTATACGATATATTAACTTGTTTTGTTTTGTTAAGTTTATTTTTTGAGGCAATTTGATGATTTTCACAATACTGATACTCTTGTCATTTCATTTAACGAAATAAATAAATAATAATGAATATGAATATTATAACGTACAAAAACGGACAAACTCCCGCATGCTTCTTAGTAACGAAGTAATGGTCAAGAATTGACGTACAATTGTATTTAGCGCACAATACATACACTTTGCATCAACACGGTGACACGTTGTCGACGTATATCTTCTCCTGTAGTCAAAACGGGTTCGACCGCGTGTATTTTTTTAATAATCCCACTTCACACGTTTTGAGATGATTGACAGGTAATGAAATGTACCACTCTCTAGATATATTCCGAGCGAAACCAGAGTAAAATGTGGCGCTATTTAATTTTCTAATGGAAGTAATGTTCATTCATTGGGACCAACCGCTATATATACTATATTTATGTTTTGCACAGACGTATTCTGCGCCAGCAACAATGTAGTCAGTGTTTTCTTTTAATTATGACAGATATAATCATAATAATTTGTATGTGGATAATTTTTTCTACGCCACTTATTCTGATTCACATTAAAAAGGTGTTCTATTGTCGACGAGTACTGATGCTATTTCAATATTTGTACAGAATACAGACAAACACTACCATACATTTAAAGAAAACAATTCATTTAATTTGATGCTGTTCCATTAAAAAAAACCTCTTGTAGCCTCAAAAGCAAGTTACCAGATGCCTTATTGCGTTGACATTCATGGGACATGTTGTAGAAGTGGTCATATTTTTCGGAGCAATTGACATTGAGTTGGAATATATAATAAGGTCAATGGCCTGCTTAACGACCTACAATTGGTCCCGGCACGCTGTCACTTCAATGACAGTTAATCCATATGAAAACATAAATCCCCACGGGGATGAACCAAATGTGAATTTTGTGATCAAGGTTGAACGTTTCTAAATATAACGATATGCGTGGTTAATATTAAGGTCCTTGTAACTTGCCAGTATGCAATTATGCAATAAGAATTATGGGTAGTGTTTGCGTTCGTGACTCACAAGGTGAGCGCTGCTCGTATACGGTCATATCACTTTATAGAATTAGCGCAGTAATTACAAGAAGTAAATCGTGACCATGAATCGTAACTGAGTTAATACATTTTTATATCTATGGCAATTAATGCACATTATCAACAAGCGTATGTAGTATATCGCAGAGCAAGGCATTGTGGGAATTAATATGATACTATGCACAGTCATGTACTTTTCTCTCGTGTTTGATAAGGAAGGAATGTGAAGATTGACGTCAACACGAAATCATAAATCTCGTCAACGGATTCAAGTCACGTCACGTTATTATTTGAGTATATTATTAGCTCATGTCAGAAATACATATGACTCAATGAGATTTTTCTAGTTATCGGTTCGTACTTTAACTTTTATATTCTATGTATACGTGCGCTGCAAAAACGACAATCGTGATTTTTTTTGTTTTCGAGGAGCGATTCCAGAAACAAGCATAAATGGCAATTGTATTCACTGACTACCCGTAAACTGGAGTAGGTTCTGAATTATCACAGTATGATCGCCGACCTAGGGAGTAAGCTTGTGTTGACATATGACCGAACTAGGGAGTACACAGGGAATAATAAAATCCCACACCACAAGGGATTGGAATGAGAATTCCTGCACAAGTTAGTGATTTTTTATGTAGACAAATAGCGCAACGAGTGTGAGAAATCTCAAGTCTTTGGTGTGTGAGATCTTTTTCTCACATCACCTAGAAATACGTTAATAATGTAAAATGCTACACGTGCATTTTTTGACATGTGCGTCTATTTTAGCACTTTATGCAGAGACAACATTTCGTGTCAATTTCGTTTTTATAAATAATCGTTTTCGTATTAGTCAATAATATGTAGACTTTTTTTAGTTCAAATTCAATCTGTTGGGCCAAATAATATGCATAAATTGGCATAAATTTCTTGAAAACATGTTTTGTCCTAAAACTTCCACGGAAAATATTGTAATATTTGAAAAACTTCTAGACATAATAAACAAATATATTGTGAGATACTGCACATCATTTTCTCACCATTTTTCACTGGCCAAATTTTTAAGATAATTTTAAGATAATTGATTATAAAACATACTATAAAAAATGCTATTTTCACTTCAAAATTGTTCACTTAAATGAGTACATCAATTCTCTCCGAGCTTGACGTGTTTAGGGTAAGCCGACCCAACTGATATGATTTATTCCACGGACATAGAAATCAGATAACGTTATATTTTGTACATTATTACATACAAACTAGTGTGAACAAATACATTGTTTACTCCTATGGCTGGTAGCATCAAAACTAGAGATGTAACTTACTATTACGACGCAATCTCCGTGGTGAGTTTCTCTGCCAAACGAATTATGCCTCGTGCAAGCGGGGAATACACTTGTATATTGCCAGGATCTGCATTAAGTAATAATATTCTTAAGAAGTGTTGGTTCGTCTACTTGGTCATTGTCGGCATTCCCAGTGGTGCGACATTTGATATTTTCAAACTCATGTTTTTATATTAACTTTGTGTTGACGGCGCCTTCTCACTTTGGATTTCTGGCACGACGTTGGTACGCATAGTGCCATCGGACAGTATTCTGTATGAGTCTGGCGAACATACTCATATTTTGAGAGAACATTTTACCCATCCGTTTTACGTACGGGCATGACAACGGAGTGGGGTTCGTTTACACACTCGTCTCACACTCTCGGTGGGACGTTCCAAGGAGGTGAGAATGAGCGCACTATGTCACGTGGCAATCGCGATACATTCATGTATATATATATATACATACATTACTGTATTTTACATTTCTCAATACACGACCTGCATAATAAATAGGTCTTCATACTTTATCTAGGCCTACTTATGTCCAACACCATATTCCCATTTACTGGTTCCATGGGTGTCCTCCACTTCTGTTTACAATTTAACAATCAGAAAGTCGGATTGTTATGATGTAGGAATTTATCATGCATGCAATTAACATGTACATATATCTCTGAAATGCTTTAGTATTCCAAGCCCGACTCAATCACATCCCATAACTAACATTCAGTCGTGATATACCCGGCGACGTACAAAGTAAAACAAGTGTACTGTGCGCATCCGGCAACAAAACGACGTAATTGACCGTAAACGGTAAGCTCTCAGTGAGGACATGGTACAAGGCATTTATTCGCTGCCATTTCTTATATTATTTTATCACCACGTAAAAATCCGTTGCGCTAATACCCGTAGCCCACGCGTGATAAAAATCTTAAGTTATAAAATATCAAACATATTGTACACCTTTATATTTAATGTAACATTTCATTCGAATGTGTTGCGTGAAAACATGAGTGTCGGTTGAAATTGGGACAAAACAGGCGCCGACATTTATACAGCTATGAAATCAGATAAAATGTCATGTGACGATCGTTATCGCAAGTAAAAGGAGTCTCTTGTTTTCCAGTCACTCATTACGCTGAATCTATGAATCTCGTGTGTTCTTATTAGTCGGCATGTTTACAACGTTTACACATCTCCCAAGACAACTGTGATTATCAGCTCAATCTTATTTCATCTTACCACATGTTGTTTGCAAATGTACGGTCTTTACGCTTAGCAATATGTCTTATTTGGGCAGCTTGATAAATTGACAATAAAGCGTATTTTCAGAATGTAATTACCACATCTTCACACGCAAATAAAATATTGGTTTTACACGCTAGTGTATTTGTGTATAATTAGACGTTTGCTCGTGGTTACGAAACAGCGTATGGTGGACAGTCTGTCTAACTAACGTCTATCTAAAGTACGACAAAGCAGTATGCGAGCGCTGAAGCACCATTCGAATCTCGCAACCGTCAAACATACGCGGAAACTGGGACCTAATCAACTCTTCGTTAGGAAACAAATGACCTATAAATATTCATAGTTAACATTTAATGACTGAGCTC